ATTTAAATGCTTCCTTTACCTGCTGTTCATTTGCTATGTGTCTTCAAAGATCCTGACTTAATTTCTAGCCAATACACCTCAAATTGCTCTTTGCAAACATTATAGAAATGTCCTATAAAAGGTAACCATCATTATCTGACAAATTTACTAATGAGAGATATGACAGGCCAACAGTACAAGGTATCAATATTGCCTCTTTCAGTCAACACCAGGGAAAAAAAATTCAGGTTGTCTTATAGTTGGTACACTTCAGAAACAGTGTTTAGGAGCATGGAAGAAGTCCAGTCCTGGTGTGTATTAAAGTTCTCCTTAGGAATGTTTTTAACAAGGTATTGCAATGGGTATTTATTTTGCTATAAGCTCAAAAACTATACATAACTTGGAAGAATGTCCTAAAGAGCTGTCACAGACACCAAACCTGACATGTTTCAACAGTTCATCAGATACAAGCATAATCAGTTTACTGACGTAAGTCCCCTGGCCACCACATACCAGCAGCTCTACCAACACAAGATGGCTTTTGTTTGCTTCTAACAACACCTCTTCATTCACTTCTACAGTTTTTAAATACCATCCTTCTTATCTTTACTTAGAAATCTCCTGTTTCTGTGTTTCTATTTATATCCAGATAAACTACTCTCATTATATTCACTTTTCACTGTCCAGCATTTTTTTCTACATATATATAAAGGCTATGTGTGCTTTTCATGACATTTTGTGTCATTTACTTTTAACCTTTCAAACCAACTCGCTTGAAAGACACTTCCCACTACCTCTCACTCTTCTGCACAAACTCTCCACCTCGTCACTCACTCTTTGCTAAAAATCCACAAAATACAGTTCATTTGCTAATGGCAAGAGAGACACTGCTGCAGCAAGGGGGTTTGTTGGGTTTTATTTAAATCAGTTGCTTCAACTCCCGTGTCACAATTACCAAAAGGACTAGGTGACTCTTCTTCTCACTGTTCTTATCTGCTAGGCCTCAAAACAAAAGGAAAGTTGCCAAGACTTTGGAGGTTTTCCCATTACAGAAAGTTTTGAGACACTACATATTTATTTCCAGGCAATAATATTACTTATTTCCCAGATGCTTATTACAGAGAATTGTTTAATACATTTTATAGAGGTTTTGCCTAGAAGAGTGGTTTCTTTGATAAAAACCTTCAGGTTAAGCAGTTTAGTCACACTACCATGCCACAGCCTAAGGTACAAAGAAACTATCAGTAATTCTATGAACACCATAAATTTTATTTACCACTACACTGAGTGAAAAGAAATGGTAAATAAACTCATCAGCTTTGTGAGCATGAGAAGTAGCAGATCCTACTCTGCCCAAATTAGAAATCACTAACCCATTTTACATACTTTTTGCCATCACTGCACTCACGGTCTCACACTTGGGTAGTTTGTGGCTAAAAATCAGCTAGTTACTGCCTTCTGCTGCATGTTCCCTCTCCACCGAGGAGTAACTGAAATAAGTATGATTACAATAGGTGTTACTATGGTTAAAAGATATAACAATATATTGCCATCACAGACAAAGAAAAGTGAACAATAAGATGAGTAAGATTTCAAATAAGTATCAAATGAAATTAAAAGCTTGTTACAGCAGCCTCTGTCCTTTCTTAGCTATTATTAGAAGATGGATGGATAGTTGCAACATCAAGGGGATCCACTAATTCCCACCATTTTACTTTAAAAACCAAAACGCGGAACGCAAAAGCCCAGCCAGACACCCACCAAGCGTTTCCCTAAATGCACAGCCAGCTGCCATACAATTAGGGCGCTTCTCTTGGGAAAAGGAAGAAGAGCAAGAAGGAACCAAAACGTGTTGGTTTTGGTGGGGCGGTGTGACCTTGCGTGCCAGCCCACAAGGTGCTTCCGCGCCTTCCCAGCATCTCCCTCCACGGACGGGCACCGGGAAAAGGACGGGAACAGGATCCGGGAGAGGCCGCGGAGCGAGGAAATGACACCAGCGGCCGAGCGGGGCCGCCGGGCAGAGCCGGCCCGGAGCGCCCTCGGTGCCCGCCCGCCCCCGCTGACCTGAGCAGCGCCAGGAAGGCGGCGGGCTCCACGTCGGGCAGCTCGATCTCGGCCGAGGTGGTGGCCATGCCGCCGTTGAACATCGCGTCGAACACGGCGCTCCCGGCCGCCAGCACGAACCGGTGGGCGGGGATGCGCTGCTGGCCGGGCCCGGGGGGCGCCGCCCCGCCGCCGCCGCGGGCGCTGCCCTTGCCCACCACGAAGTGCACGTCGCTGAGCATCTCGTTGGAGAAGAGGAAGGCGAAGCGCTCCCGCAGCGAGCCCTTGGTGGCCTGCCAGTTGTAGAGCGGCTCCCGCTGCAGCACCGCGCCGGCCTCGGCGGCAGCGGC